TGCCCCTCTGTAAATGATAAAACACGTAAACACAAGAGACCAACTAGTGTTTTAACTTGGCCCTCTTCTAAGAAGCAACTTCTTGCCATCAGCTGATTACGTCCCTGTCTCCTCCAAATTGGGGAGATGTGTATCTTAATTTGTATGTGAAGAGAGGGATCAGATGTACAGAGGCGACGAAGTGACTTTCCTAAGGTTGAATAATAATCTGATGGCTGAATGGGTTTCAAAAAACTAGTTCAGCATCACAACTGCTAGAAGTTATTTTGTTCTGGCCACACCAGCAATGCTTATCTTGTGGCACATTTCCAATTTCCAAAACAATGACGTAAGTCCAAATGGTTTATTAAAATTCCCTATAAAAATGATGTTCTGTGATGCAATCCCTATGCTAACCACATGGTGATGCTGCAGATAGATGTAGGGATTTGTTCCGGGAAGAGGGGCTGAAGAATATTTTTATTTTTATAAATTATGGTAAGGTCACACAGTTAAACATTATGCTTCCATTTAAAAGAATGAGGTAAAACTGTATGACTTATAAGAAATATCTTCAAGATACGGCACCAAGTGAGAAAATCAAGTCACTAAATAATATGAAGAGCATGTTCACATTTGTATAATTAAAAAAAAGAATATAAACATATATGCTGGTACATGCACAGTTTTTTTCCTGAGAGCATAAAACAAGAGGCTCTTAACAGTTGTTACTTTGGGGAGTGAGACTGGGGAAAGGGTGTTTCCTTTTGATTTTATCTGTTTTTAAATTATTCGATTTTGTAATGATCTACATTCATTTAAGAATTATTATTACAAAAACAATCCATTTGTTGTACAAATTTTTTTTGAGACAGGGTCTTGCTCTGTTGCCCAGGCTAGAGTGAAGTGGAGTGCAGAGGCTCACTGCAGCCTCCTGGGCTCAAGTGGTCCTCCTGTCTCAGCCTCTCAAGTAGTTGGGACTACAGTTGTGTGCCACCACACCCAGCTAATTTTTCTTAATTTTTTGTAGAGATATAGGGTCTGGCTACATTGCCCAGGCTGGTCTCGAACTCCTGGCCTCAAGTAATCCTCCCACCTTGGCCTCCCAGAGTGCTGGGATTATAGGTGTGCACCACCATGCCTAGCCCTGTTTTACAAATTTAAGTACTGCAGAAGTTAATAAAAATCCTTTCTCCCTAACCTCTTAATCCCATTCCCCAGAGGACAAAGAACTACTGATAAGAGTTTAGGACCTTATTACTCAGAGTGTGGTCTCCAGACTAGCAGTATCAGGATCACCTGGGAAGTTGCTAGAAATGTAGATTCTCGTGTTCTACCGCAGACCTTCTCAAACTCCACAATGGGGACCAGTGATCTGTGTTTTAATAAACCCTCCAGGTGATTGTGATGCATGCTCAAAGTTGAAAACCATTTCATTTTAGCAGATTAGATCTGATCTTTCTGCATGGAAGTTTGAGAAGAATTCTGCTGGGAAAACTAACAGCTCAAAATGGCACATCTCCATTTACCCAGAGAGCTCTAGTTCGAGGGTAAGAAACAGAACACACTGCTTCAGTTCACAGTGTTAAGGAATCCTGTAAACAACCAAACATTTAGCTGCTTTCTTTAAGTGAATTTAAGTGTTTTCATACGAAACATCTTTCTTTCTAACATGACATTGTTCCTGTGAAAGTGCCTTAGCCCACCGTGACCTCTCTGTAGCGGCTGCACGATGACCATACTGTCACAGTTTGGAGGCATTACCCAGAAAAGGGGGAAATGTTAGAAGGAGAAAGGAAAAAGAGGGAGTGTAGGAGAAACTAAAAGGAGGGTGAATAGGCAAAGGAAAAATGAGGCAGAGAAAGAGAGAATGTAAATCAAAAAATGAAGATCTTATGGTGGCAAGTAGATGACACTAATACCTCAGGGTCACTTATTCGTTTATTTCATAAGTATTTATCATTTTTCCATTCTAAACTTCTGCACTTTTAGGTTCACTTCCTCCCCCACCCCGTTCCCACATGTCAGTGTCTGTCATTTACCAAATATGATAGGGTCATTATTTCTTACATCATTCAGTGTGTTGACATTTAGGGAAGTGTTTGCCTGTGATTTCCTGCTCTTTGGCCAAAAAGTCATGTGCCTAAAAGCTTCTCGAAAGAATCTTAATCTACGTATGGTGGTAGGGGTGGGAGCGGGTGCTGAGGAGTTATGTACACTGGGGGGCAGTAGGAGGTATGGTCAGGAGAGCACGTAAAAGTGCTCTGGATACAGCAGTATCGACAATCAAGTCAACCCATGTGAAGCTTAGATCAGAGGGCATCTCACACAGTTCTTCAAACGTCAACCCCAGTCCCATCTATACATTTGCCTCCACCACAGAAAGCCTAGAAAAAGCTCCTTCAACCTGGGGTAGGATAATGGGGAACTGTATACAAAAAGGGGTCGTTCTCACAGTGTTTTGGGGGGAAAGCATTAAAGAATCATGAGTATGGAAGCTCAGAGCAAAGATCTGAGAATTTTTAGCCTATCTATTCTGACAAAATAACCAGCACGTACCTATAACTTCCAAAACATTATTCTGTTTCATGAAGGTGCCTGTCCCAGTCCAAGGAACAAGCATTTGTTTTTGTCTGAGGAAAAGGTTGTGATGGGGGGATTTCACTTATAAGGCTGCTCATATTTCACTGTGTTTCTTTTTTTTAAAGTTGATGACACCTGCAAGAAATAAAGGGCAGCAATTTATTAAACCAGATATTTGACAAATTGGGACACTTTGTTTTCTTACACTGTATTTTTTTGTTTTTTTATTTTTTTGGAGACAGAGTCTTGCTATGTCACCTGGGCAAGAGTGCCGTGGCATCAGCCTAGCTCACAGCAACCTCAAACTCCTGGGCTCAAACAATACTCCTGCCTCAGCCTCCCAAGTAGCTGGGACTACAGGCATGCGCCACCATGCCCGGCTAATTTTTTCTATATATTTTTAGTTGTCCAGATAATTTCTTTCTATTTTTAGTAGAGACGGGGTCTCACTCTTGCTCAGGCTGATCTTGAACTCCTGACCTCGAACAATCCTCCCGCCTCGACCTCCTATGTTTTCTTACACTTTAAATAAATGACTATTTAACTCATATAGAATCCTAGAATTGTAAAGCTGGGGCCAACTCAGACACCTTATAGATCATCTGTGGCCCATTAACATTGCTTTGGGGAGTTTTGAGAAAAGCACCATGCCCAGGCCTGGCTCCAGACCAACCGAATCAGAATCTCAAGGCGTGGGACCAAGGAGCAGCTCTACTTTTAAAGCTCCGCAAGTGATTCCCCTCTGCAGCCAGGATTGAGAAACACCTCTAGCCTCACCGTTTCATTTTACAGATAAAGAATAGAAGCTCAAAGAGATACAGTGACTTGTCCAAGGTTACACTTGCCAGTAAGTGATGTCTCACACTCAACTCCTCTGACTGTCAAGCCAATATTCTTTTCACGATGCTCTTGTCTGTTCTTCTAGAACTTAGGGCTTTGATGAACATTAAGGTTAAGCAATTTACAGTTGAGGGAGAAAGGTCAGAGTCTATTATAATAGTAAGGATTGGTGGGGCAACTTTGGAGGATTCTTCTCAATCATGAGTTCTCTGAAGACTACTATACCCAGGACATAGCTGCTGCCAAGTCTTATTGATGATGGGGCAGTCAAATGACGTTTTGCTAAGGGCAGTGACTAATAATGTAGTGTATATTAGTCTTGTGTGCTGGCCAAGTTACTTGTTCATGACTTCATTTCACCCACGATGGAAGACATTCATTGACGAATGTTCTCACTTTCAGGAATTTATCACATTAAAGCAAATGATAGTAGGGGCAGATCAGTGGTTCTTAATATTTGAGTTGGGGGTGGGGATTAGGGTGGAGAACTAGTGAAAACTATGAACTTCCCCATAAAAATACACATACATAAATGTTGCATGTAATTTCTGAGGATTCACTGACACTGCCCGCACCCCCTGCTTAAACTCATTCATCGACCTCAGATTAAGATCTCCTGGACTAGATGATTTTGAAGCTCTCTTTTAGCGTTTCTCAAAATGTGATCCATGGCCCACAGAATCAGAACCTTTTGGGGTATTTCTTACAGAAAACAAGATTCATAGGACTGCCACAGCCCTACTATTTCAAAATCTCTGGGGGAATGAGGTAGAGGAATCTGTATGTTTTTAAAAATCCCCAGATGATTCTTTTGGAAACTAACATTTGAGACTAAATGCTTTGTTCCAACCTGAGATTTTTACGTGTTTTGAATGCTTTCATCTTTTGAATATTTTAGGTTTTGTCTGTTCACCTGTCAAGTATACCAAACAGTATGTTTAGTATGAAGTCATTACAGAATATTTGTGTGTATATACATAGGAAAAACATCTGGAAGAATATATATGTGTATATATGTATTGTGTGTAATATGTATATAAAATGATGTTAACAGTGTCTCTCTCTGGGCAGTAGGAATATGGATGGTCTTTACTTTTTCCTCTTTGTCATTCTCTTTTATTTCTTGCTCATTTTTTTCTTTCTATATTTAAAAAGGACACTTCTTGTTGCTGAGCTCATTTTCCCCTTCGGAGAAACAGGGTGTTGTAACTATGTGAACTTCAAGACCACGTCCTGCTCCGGTGGTCAGTGTCTTCATACTACCCTCTAGCTCCCTCGTCCATCTGATGGCATGAACTGCATAGGCAATAACAGTGTTTGGAGAATAATCATGTGTTATTTTTGTATGTATTACGTTGAGATGCCTAGCAACCGTTTTTGCTCCAGCAAAATTATTCTGTTCTTCCTCAAGGAGCCAAAACGAAAATAATCTACTAACTACAGCCCTCGAAAGTTCCTTCTTTCTCTTCAGCCTTAGAAAATGCCGTCCGCGCGTATCTCTTAGGAGCGTAAGAATGGTTGTGAACCAAAAAGCCAGGGCGTGGTCGCCCCGCCCACCAGCCTCTACATCACCACCCCTCTCGCCGCTTTCCAGCGCGGACATTGGCTGTAAGCAAGCAAGAGCCCCGCCCCTAGTCTTATGACTCGCGCTAAAGCGGCGAGTCCTGGCTTTTGCAGCGTTGTGGTCGGTGGTCACTGGTGCTCCCGCCCCAGGTCCAGCAATCGTTTTCTCTGCTGGTGCTGCTCTTGTTGCCACCGCTGCCGCCGCCGCCGCCGCCCCCTGTTTTGCGGGATCATGGTGTGCTTCCGCCTCTCCTCCGTTCCAGGCTTGGGGCTCGTTCTGTTTTGCCTTGTCCTGGGTGAGTTGTCAGGCCCTCCTGATTAATCTCTCCGCTTGGGCCCGGGGCGCCGGTTCAAAGGCTACAACCGGCAAGACTGGTCGCGGGTGGGGGGAGGGGGTTGAAAGGCTCAGCAGCTGACACTGGGCGGTGGCTGTTGGCCCAGTGAGGCGAGCAGTGACCTAGAGAAGGCCTGACCGAGGGATGGTGGGGAAGAAGGGCCCATTAGAGTAAGAAGGGTCGGATAAAAGGGGGGTGGACGTGGGCAGGGAAGAGTGAAGAGTGGAGGAGGTCGGGGTGGAAGGAGTAACTTGGGGAAGACACTAAGGAGCCAAAGACAATTAGGAGAGTCCTGGTTTCCTGGGATCAGGGAAGAGTTTTGAAGATGGTGGAAAAACTATGAGGCGAGAAAGAAAATTGGGAGGGAAGAGACTGCCTGTGTGGAGTAGCTTTGGGAAAGTGTGTGGGTGGGGGACAGATTGGACAGTAGAGCCTGAGGGGCAGGGACGGGATTGGGGATTTTGTAGGTGGGAATTCGAGGCTGTGGAGAAAGGGTGATTCAAGACATGAGAAATAATGCTGGATTTGAGTTTGGTAGTCAGAGTTTTCAGGGTGAAGGAACCTAAGGAGACTGGGACTATTTCCAGGAGAGAAAACTTGGGCCCAACCTCTGGAAAATAAGGGAGTGAATATCTGACTTTCGAGGTGTTGAGGATGTCAGTTTTCTACCAGTTTTGCTACTTCCTCCCAGCCAGACCTGACAAAAAAATCCCCAGACGCTTCAGTTGGGAGGGCTTCCCAGAAGTGAGGTTTTGGGGTGGTATATGTATCTGAGTTTTGTGTACTACCTCCTTGCCTTCAGAGTCTCTTGTTTTCTTCTTCCCCGTCACACAACTGGCCCATTACCTCAGTTTTTTGGAGGGGTCGGGGTAGGTAACTTGCTAAGGACTGGATTTGTGACCCAGTCCTAAAATGCCTGGATGAATGTTGACCGGTTGTGCTCTGCCCCAGTAGGCAGGGGGTTCCTAAGAACTTTAAAGCCTAAAGGCAAACTTTGGCCAGAGTGTCTCTCTTCCTGACCCTATTCATCCTGTGCTTGTTGGTACCCAGTGGCTGTTGCTGTTTGTGACCTAATAAAAGAACAGAGGGAATGGACCCAGATGGGAGTGGGAAGGAAATAGACATATTAAGGATCTGAGAAGACAGTGAGAGGTATACGTTTTGCAATTCACATTTCAGTAGAATAAAATCAACACCCTAGAGTAGTGGGTTCTCAACCAGAGGACATTTGGCCATATCTGGAGACATTTTTGGCTGTCACAACTGGGGGATTGCTTTTGGGATCTCATGGGTAGAGGTCAAGGATGCTGCTAAACATCCTACTAACCACAGGACAGCCCCTCACAACAAAGAATTATCTGCCTCAAAAATGTCAGTAGTGCCAAGGTTGAGAAACCCTGCCCCAGAACCATAGCATTGGAAGGGTTCTTGATTATCTAATCCAGTGATTCTCAAGGACCTTTTCCAGGGGTCTGTGAGATCAAAACTCTTCAGAATAATACTAAGAAGGTATTTGTCCTTTTTACTTTCATCCTTCCACCCAGTGAACAGTGGAGTTTTCCAGAGGCTACATAATGTGTGATGACATCACTACTCTGAAGGCTCCTGATGTTCTTCTGTTTTATTCATTTCTCAGTTTTAATTTCTAATACAGTAACTACTGATAGATGAGACTCACATAAACCGAAGTTCTGTGAGATCGTTAGTGGATAAAAGAGTAAAGGGGTCCTGACACCAAAAGGTTTGCAAATTCCTCATCTAGTCCAGCTGTTCACAGGGTGCAAGAAACTCTTCTGTAGCACTTCTGAAAGGGGGCCATGAGGCTTTGCTTGAACACTTAATTTGAAGCCTTAACTGTACTGCGAAGCACTTACTGAGGGCCAGCTGACCCTAAGAGAGGGTTGTTTACAATGGAAAGTACCTTATCAGTGACTAGAACACATCTGACCAAGGCATCTGTTAAACAGTACTTCCCTGCCAGTTGAATCTGTGCACAAATACAACACAGTTATTGTTTAGAGAAAGTGAAGAAAAATAATAGTTGTCCTACTTGTTGGCTTTCATGTCGTTACATTTTTTTTGTTTTTTAATGAAAGCTTTTTTGTTTTGTTTTTACAAAAGCAATGCTTGCTCATTGCAGAAAATAAACAGGCAAAAAGAAGCACATAAAAGAACCCATCAGCTCATCTGCTAGTTTGCCATTTATTGATCGGGACTAACTACATTCATCCTCTTGGAAGATTTCCAAGATTGAGTCCCTCCACCTCGAAGTTCAGAGCAGGATTTGGAGGAGTAAAAGTTAGAAATGTACCTAGATTCGATTTTTAAAAGGTTCCAGGATGAAATAGAAAAACCATCTTTCTATACAGCTGCTTTTTCTGACAGCTCTTGGTTCAGTGTGGAGCTCGAAGTCCTCCCATATGGCTTTTTATCCTAAGAATCTAGCAGTTGCTTGGTAGGTTTTGCACGTTACTTTTCTGTATCAAAATGGATACCAAGAATAGGTTTTTGAAAACTCCATAAATATTGGTAAAGTACCTACTATGTACTTAGAACCGTGCCTGAGTACTGTAGAGCAGCTGTCCCCAACCTTTTTGACAGCAGGGACCAGTTTCATGGAAGGAAGTTTTTCCATGGAAGGGGATGGGAGAGGGGGAGCGTTGGTGGGGGTGGTGGATCTGGCTCCACCTCAGATCATCAGGCGTTGGATTCTCATGGGGAGCATGCAACCTGGATCCTTCGCATGTGCAGTTTGCATTCGGGTTTGCACTCCTATGAGGGTCTGACGCACTGCTGCTGATCTGACTAGGGAGCGGCTGTGTGGGTGCAGGTGGGGCTTTGCTCCTCCCTCGCCTGCCTGCCGCTTGCCTCCTGCTGTGCGGCCCAGTCCGCAGCCCGGGGTGGGGGGAGGGTTGGGGACCGCAGCTGTAGAGGGTGCCAGTGAAGGAGGATCTGTCCTGAATTTATAGTCTCATTAGCATTGGTGCTCTAGTTGTGCCAGTTTCACTTTGTAACTTTATCTCTATCCCAGCTCCACCCATAGCTTTTTAAAAATAGCTGCTTTAGAGTAAGCATAGAAAAGGATTCTTAGAGGCTACGTATTTGTCTTTGTCATAGAGATTAAATTATGCTGATATTTATTTGAATGAATTATAACTGACCAGAGAACTTTCTGAAGAAAAACTGTATGATTTCAGAGGCATCATAAAGAAGGTAGTGGATGAAAATCCTTTCATAACATCATTGCTTAATTATATTCCCTTTGTGACATCATACATTTCAGGCTTCTTCTGTGGTTATTGACTCTTTTTTTTTTTCAGAATATTACAGGGGTATAAATGTTTAGGTTACAATATATTGCCTTTGCCCTGCCGGTGTCGGACCTACAAGCATGTCCATCCCCCAAATGTTGATTCTTATAAGTAGCTTGATGCTTGACTTCTGTTTTGTGTGGGTTTTTTTGTTTTGTTTTGTTTTGGTTTGAGGCTTTTCTGGGTGGGAAAGACCTCATAGAAATATTCTTAGTGTGTACCTCACTGGTAGGAGCCCCTCCCTCCCACAAGTATTTATTGAATGCCAATTGTGTCCCAACCACTATACTAGGTGAAAGGGACAGAGCAATGGATAAGACAGATGAAGTCCCTGCTTTCATGGAGCTTACATTTTAGTGGGGGAAAACAATAGCCCCACAGATAAATAATATGATGTCAGATAGTGATAAACACTGCTAAGAAAATTAAGCAGGTAATGAGGAAGTGGAATGAACAGATTATGGGGATGAGTGACGGGAGATGACCTTTTTTATACATTTTGTGGTCAAAGGGTCTTCCATTATTGGGTGACATTTGGGCAGAGACCCGAGTATTGGAAGGGGGCCAGCCATGTGACCATTGGGGGAATAGGAATAAATCTTGTCATTCCCAAACTCTTAGGTTAGTACACTAGCCTATTTTCCACTCTTTTTTCTCCCAGTTCCAGTCAAGTCTGCCATACATTATTAGTCTCTGAGAACAGAGACTATCTTACGTACTGTTATTTCCCACTGCTTACCTAGCATAGGGCCTTGGTAAATTTTTGTCGAGGATATTGGTGGGCATTGGGGATATGATGGTGAACTAGACTAACTTGCTTTCCTTTTTCTTCTTTGAACCTAAAATGACGTTTTGCAAGATGTTCTTTTGTGTCTTTGGATTGAGAACTTTAAGATCAGTCCTAAGCAGTGCAGATAATTATTATATAAACCACTTTACTAAAGTATAATCCCATATAGTAACACTAGTCTCTTAGCTGTACCCTTCAGATATACCTCCCTAGTCATGGAGGGTAATATGGAAAAATAGGAGGTCCTTAGTGAGGACAGTTCAGTTTTCACAAAGAACCAGTATCTCTCCTTTTAGAGGCAGTCTGAAAGAGAGAAAGTAAGCACTGAGATTTTTCTGTAGCCTTACCACATTTAATTTAACTGATAACTTTGATTTCAAGGTTCTGTCAAAATTGTGCTAACTATAATAGAGACACTTGAAAGGACAGGTTTGTCATTAGTCTGTTAGTCATTGGTTATCATATGTGATAGGATTATAGATATTCAAATATTTCCCCTGGGAACAGCTTTCTTCCCCTATACCCTTGGGTGGATTTTGCCTGTAACCAAGGATTATTTCGCAGCACTGGAGCTGACTTAGGTGACCCCTGGTGCAGGAAGGCTGCTCTTCTTCCTGTAGTTACAAAAACATTCCGATCATAATTTCATATTAAAGTGATCAGAGATCCCCTTAGATCCAAAAGTGTACTTTATAAGTACTTGTTGGTATCCTGCTGTGCATTGCGAAAGAATTGTGGAGGTCTGCCAAACAGCGCTCAGCAATAAGCACTTTCCATTAGTTGAGGAGCGTTCAATCTTGTTTCCTTATCCGCTCTCTCACCTTAAAAAAATTAAGTCATTTTGTAGCCTAAAAATCATA